AAGTCTCCGGACGAAGCTGGACGGGTTCAGATGCACGATTTTTGGAACTGGACCTAGCCAGCTTCATGCATGACACCGTTGTCGACCGGCAATTATGCTTGCACTGTAATGCCAATTTTGCATGCGAAATGGTGTTATAATGCCAGCATTATGCCACCTGGAAAAAAGGGACTATAATGCCAACCATAATGCTAGCATTACCCGCCCATGCCTACAGTGCATTTCAAAACTATACACGCGTAGGGTTTTTGAAATATTTCAAATTTGGCTGGAACCTTTTGAGAATAGTTTCGGAATATTGCTCAGGATCGCTCCACAATTACTCTCATATACTTCGAAGTAGTTTCTAAAGGATTGGATAACAGACGCCCAATTTGGAAAAAATTATGCACAAAGTGATCACAGATTTTATGTGGTATAGATGCTGGCATAACGGTTTTTGCCTAGGTACGCGTCTATAGTTTTGAAATGGACTGTAGGGGAGGAAGGATGCAGACCGATGCAGTGCGTGTAAGAAGCCTGCGGTGTATTGCCACTTGTTATCTCGTCCAGCAGAGGCAGGCAGGCATGGTGGGATGGTCTTAGGCTGTGTTTAAAAGTCTATACGATGAAAAAAAAAATAGGTGGGTGATTACATGAAGACAGTTGACCCGGTGATGAGCTGATGGCGTGTACATAATACACAATGTCAGGTAGAACAACAGAGAGCCAAAATCTTTCTCCTTACTCCGAGTCTCGTGTTCCAAAACACTCATCAGACGATGAGTGTTTTTGAACGACAAAGATTTTGGCTCTCTGTTGTTCTGCCTTGTGCAGCACGCTCTGCCCTTTTTGAGGTACATGTATTGAGCACTATTTGCAGCAAGGACTTCAGACACTTTGTCTAATACACATGTATTTACGTGTATGTGCATAGCAGGCGTGACCACGTGACTGTCTCCATCGAATCATACTGCTCCGTTGATTATGAGGGATCTCCCCTGCAAATACATGTACACACAACATGAGCACCCGGTGGTAAACTCTGCATGACATTGTGAAACCCTTTTTTTTTATTTCGATACGAAGGAGAATCCCTACAAGATTGTGCAGTCATGTTGGTATGGGTGATGATCGGTTCTCGCAACACGCGCATAGGGGAAGTAGTTACCGCAGCAATGCAAGAGAGTTCAAAAGGCACTCGACCGTGCTGGCATGGCCCGACAGTGGCACTATGAAATCGATCATGACCGGTCGACCGTGATAGTCATCATGAGTGCGTGAAGATACAATCATGTACACTGACTATGGTATGGTATGGTGACAAAGCTTCCAAACTCTCTCTTGTGACTATGGTATTACAGAACGGGGTTCAACACCCATAATTATGGTTCAGATGGTCCCAACGGACCAGGGCTCTACAGTCTACCAACCGTAGATGGTTGTAGAAAGGTCACTGTTTCCGAACACGGTGTCCTCCACCTTGTTTCATGCGGTCAAACCAACAACATGTATACTGACTGTATCAGAACTGACAGAAGGCGATAAAGCCTTGCAACAGCAGCCCTGAAGAAACTCTGGGCGCTATGGGTCGGAACCAATCTTGTTGTGAAGCTCGCCACACACCGTACTCGCGTGATTAGAACCCTCTCTCGTATAGTGCCCCTGTCTCTGAAAGCCAATGAAAAAGTAAAGGCCTCCAGGCTTGAATAGTGCCCCCTCCCCTTCCCGCGCTTGTAATCAAGCGGTTGCGCAAGCTCTCTCTCTCCTCTCTCCTCTCTCTATCCTCTCTCTCTCTCTCTCTCTCTCTCTCTCTCTCTCTCTCTCTCTCTCTCTCTCTCTCTCTCTCTCTCTCTCTCTCTTTCTCTCTCTCTCTCTCTCTCTCTCTCTCTCTCTCTCTCTCTCTCTCTCTCTCTCTCTCTCTCTCTCTCTCTCTCTCTCTCTCTCTCTCTCTCTCTCTCTCTCTCCCTCTCTTTCTCTTTCTGCTATTGGCGCGCCTGGTTGTGATGAAGCCGAGACCCAAGGTCGGCAGAGCATCCCAGACCACGCCACCACTCCCCTTATTCATGGCTCACACATGACGGGTTTACGTGGCTCTAGTAAAAAAATAAAAAATGGTCTTGACCATGAAATTCACCACCAGGGCAATTACAATGCTGGATTGGGGATCAAAATGGCAATTCTTCTTGAAGTTTCTGTTGAGTCATGACAATTTATAGTAAACTTTAGACTCTCTGCTTCCACTTCACGACCACCACCGTTGCGCTCTGCGGTCGACCGCGTTCATTCCTCACATAAACAACCGCAACAAAAGATTCCTTCGGAGTACGTTCTCAACTTTCTCTGATGAGGTCTAATCAACCGAAACAGCTGCATATGTCAGAAGGAATTAGAAATATTTTCAGTACTCCAAAGGAACCTCTTGTTGCTGTTGTGAACTTGTGGGGAATGAACGTGGTCGGGCGCAGAGCGCAACGGTGGTGGTGATGAAGTGGACGCAGAATGTTCAAGGGCCAAGTGCTGCTGCTTACTTTCTTGTAACGTTAGCTTTTGTTTTGCTTATTTTTATGGTAGGTGACGTAAACGACAATGCCAGTGTGCTCTCAGTTGACACCATGACATGCCCCCTTTCGAACCCAGACCATCATTTCGGAATTGTCTATTTTGGCAGATATATGTACAGTAAAACCTGGTTTAAGCGACCACCCCACGGTGCAAGCAAAAGCGGTCGTTAAAGCCAGGTGGTCTTTAGAACCAGGTCCTACGGGCCACAGTGTCTGTGTAGAACTGTCCGAGCATGGACAGAAGACTAATATGCAGGTCAAAACGTCAGTGTCAAAGTCTTGCTCAGGTTGTGTGCTTCGGTTATCTACTGCTGTATGATATTTTCAGCAGGCAGCAGTAGACTGAGGCCGTGGAGTTGGAGGGATCTTCTAACATTACATGTAGTACTACAAAGCAAAGAGGAGGAGGACTTTGTCGAAAGGGGAAATACTACGCAGTCATGACGCTAACATTAAATCAGAGAATTCTGCCATGCATGGATGATGGCACCAATGTACTATAATAATTATAGTGTTTAGAACACCCCCAGTTGTCACCACTGCACGTACATGGTTGTACCCCTCAAGGATCATCCTCAGATTGTACAAATGCATGCCACTGATCTGCTGATAGCAAGACAAGCAGTCCATAACTAAAACCTGTATAAGTAAGTACTAAGTACCTAGATAAGCATACTGCAATGTCGCGTATTAACATTATTTCTGTAGAAGCCAATGTCAAAGCAAGGCTTCTATTCAAACCTGATATTTCTATGATGAAGAAAGGAAAAGGACAAAATGTTACGAGTTATGACAAACTGTCCACCAACGCAACCAGATTTTACACAGTCAGCAAGTGCGACAAAATGGCACAAAACTGACAAGGAGTACTGAGACATTCGGCGACCTGACACCTAGCTCCAACACTTCTCCAAGGCGCAAACCAACCAGCTGACTGTATAAGATCTGGTTACGTTGGTGGACAGTTTGTCATAACTCGTAACATTTTGTCCTTTTCCTTTCTTCATCATAGAAATATATTGGCTCACCATCCGAGTTCAAATTTGCACACCTGATGAGCCGTCATGACCTATACGGCGAAACGTACTTCGTGTGGAACTACTTGTTATTGTACATACCTACTCCATCATACATGATACTGGATGGAGTTCAGTAGGATGTTGGCGTTTCGGTTTGTCACAATTCGTCTTCGCTTAGCTTCCCCTTCTATGTTTATTACATAAACTTGAGCCTCCCAAGTTGGGTGGTCTGTTGCATTGCGTCGTCGAGTTGTAGTGAGGCCGGTCTGTCCAATAATCTTACTAGTTTCGTCATCATCCAGTAACTTTCGGCATTCCTTGTTGTCGTGATGCGTAGCTCATGCTCTTCTTCGTTGCGCTTTCCTTCCCCTCTTGGATCTTTCGGAACCTGAGCCTTCCAAGGTGGAAGGTTGTTGGTTTGCGCCTTGGAGAAGTGTTGGAGCTAGGTGTCAGGTCGCCCAATGTCTCAGTACTCCTGGTCAGTTTTGTGCCATTTTGTCGCACTTGCTGACTGTAGAGTATAAGAATGATCTGGTTACGTTGGTGGACAGTTTGTCATAACTCGTAACATTTTGTCCTTTTCATTT